CAACTCTATCAGTTCATTTACAGAGGATTTATAACTCTGAAGACTAGGACTGTACCATTTAACAGCATCCAGTGCACCTAGCAACAAGTTTTAATATTTTCACTTGCGACATGTTGGCAGTTTGCAAACTTTTATAGAGAAAATTCTTTGAAGCATACGTGCTATCTGTACCTTGACCATCTAGCACTGAATATACATATTAGGATTCTTTTATACTGTTTTCGTTTTACTTTACTCATTTCTAATATCTCCCATCATACTACGGGAGATACACTGGGGGAGAAAAGACTCGCTGGCTGTAGAGCCATTGAAAGTTAGCAACAATTTTATGGTCTACAATTGTAGCAGCTGTAGGAAGCACATTTCACAGCACACTCTCTTTACTCTGATTTACTGTCCCTGTATAGACACTAACAAACTCATACATGAAAACTGTATGCAAACTTTACAGATTCTTTATTGAGAAAAAAATCAAACTCAAAGTGTTCTTTTGTTCAGTATCAGCAGTTCTGTAAACGTATCTTCATTGTATGGGGAAAGGTCTTTTTGCCTTGAAACAGGTAGCAAAACATTAGGATCTGTGATTAACTGAAAAAGAAACCATTGCTAGAACATGTCAGTGTTCTCCTACAGTCCCAACTTTTTGCTAGATTCTGTTGCCACAGATTAGTCAGTGCTGAACTCTCAGTGATAAATCAATTAATCCCAGACTAAGAATTTCCTAGAAGCAGAAACTTTTTACAGTAATAACTACAATGATGTTGCTCAGCATCCAGCCCTGCAAACAGGCTTATACAATCTTGTATCATAGAATCATAGAATAGTTTGGGTTGGAAGGGACCTCTAAAGGCCATCTAGTCCAACCCCCTGCCGTGGGCAGGGACATCTTCAACTAGATCAGGTTGCTCAGAGCCCCGTCCAATCTGACCTGGAATGTTTCCAGGGATGGGGCATCCACCACCTCTCTGGGCAACCTGGGCCAGTGTTTCACCACCCTCAGCATAAAAAATTTCTTCCTTATGTCTAGTCTAAATCTACCCCCCTTTAGTTTAAAGCCATTCCCCCTTGTCCTGTCACAACAGGTTGCAACAAAAAGGTTGCTGCCATCTTTTTTATAAGCCCCCTTTAAGTACTGATAGGCTGCAATAAGGTCTCCCAAAAGCCTTCTCTTCTCTAGGCTGAACAACCCCAACTCTCTCAGCCTTTCTTCATAGGAGAGGTGTTCCACCCCCCTGATAATTTTTGTGGTCCTCCTCTGGACCCACTCCAACAGGTCCGTGTCTTTCTTATGCTGAGGGCTCCAGAGCTGGACGCAGTACTCCAGGTGGGGTCTCACCAGAGCAAGCCCAGGATACGATTGGCCTTCTGGGCTGCAAGCGCACATTGCTGGCTCATGTCCAGCTTTTCATCCACCAGTACCCCCAAGTCCTTGGCAGGGCTGCTCTCCATCCCTTCATCCCCCAGCCTGTATTGATACTGGGGGTTGCCCCGACCCAGGTGCAGGACCTTGCACTTGGCCTTGTTGAACCTCATGAGGTTCACAC